GTAGAATTTATAACCTAATTTTGGAACAAGAGGAAAAAGACATTTTGAAATCAATTTGGGAACATGCTTTAAAGACAGAAATTAAAACAGAGGATTGGACAAAAATTTGGAAGATGAGAGTTTTAAGATTAAAAAGAATAAAGGAAAAAAAATTAATTAGTTTAAGGTGGTACATGACTCCGGTGAAATTGAACATAATAAATTCAGACTATTCTAAGGCCTTTTGGAAATGTGATGAAGAAATCGGCACATATTATCATATGTGGTGGGAGTGTAAATTGATTCAGAAATTTTGGAAATTTTGGAAATTGATTTTTAAGGAAATATGTGATCTATTTGGAAAAGATATCGAATTTAATTCTAAAATTGCTTTGCTGTCACTTTTTTAATAAGCTAGAACTTGATTATTGCTCAAAGGAATTGATTTCTAATTTTATGACATGTGCTAGAATATTAATAGCTAGATTCTGGAAAGATAAAAATGATATTAAATTAGAAGTTTGGTGTAATGAAGTATGAGACATTGCCTTAAATGATAAATTGACTACTAAACTTAAGCTTTCGCTTTTTTCCAGCCCTTCAGCTGGAAGGGATTAATTGCGTTTCCAATGGGTCTTGCAGTGATGTGGGGGTTTTTTGGTTATTTTTTTCTTCAGACGGAATGGATTAATTGCATTTCAATGCATTCCTATGGGAAATGGTACTTCAACTTACGACCGAAGTTCTGGAACCAATTAAGTTTGTAAGTCGAGGCACCACTGTATGTGCCATTTTTCTCTCTCCCCGGCTATGTCAGCTTACTTCTGTGTAAGATGCCCCATAATTTTTAGTGTAATGTAGTGGTCCCCAACTTTTTCCCAACCACAGACCAGTTGTGTGTGTGTGGCGTGCCCACGGGGGAGGAGCTCACTCACACGCATGTTGCACTCACAGGGCACTTGTGTGCATGTGCACAGCACTCTAGCAGGGAGAGGAATGCACTCGTGCAACTGCCAGTCTCGTGTGGTGGGGGCTCTCACACGTGCACACATCGCAATTGCAGGGGGCAGAATGTGCTTGTGTGCATGCGCATGGCAGTGCTTGTGGGGTGGCAGGAGATCTGTGTCCACGGCCCGGTCCTGGACAGGCCACAGACTGCTGCCAGGTTGCAGACTGGGGGTTGGGGACAATGTTTCTGTGCTTGTGGGGTGGCAGGAGATGTGTGTCCACGGTCAGGCCACAGACTGCTGCCGGGTCGCAGACTGGGGGTTGGGGACTTCTGGTGTAACAATTTTAGGGAACAGTAGCATCTTATACACAGAAAAAATCTGGTGTATAAAGGCTGCTAAAATAAAGATTTTACATTGCATGGCTTAGATCATAGTCTCCTCATTCTTGCATAACAGCTGGAATTGTGAAAAGAGAAAGATTTGCATAGATAAGGAAGTGTTCATGGGCACGGTCCTTACTGTTGTATAACTGGGAATTTTCATGTGACATGGTGTCCAGTTGTACAACATGGATTTGACATGAAAGCATATAAGACTTATATACAGGCTTTGACTTGCATGTGGATTTTCTTTTAATATGGTTATGCAGGCTAGGAAAGCCAAAGGGGAGAGTCTGGTGGCATGTAAGCTAAAAGGCTTTATAGAGGCCTCAAGGCATAAGATGGTCTCTTATATGCTCCACAAACCATTCTGTTCCTCCTGGTTGAGTACAAAATTGAGTCCATACAGAAGAGCCAAAATTCTGTTCTGAACCAACATTTGTTGATCTCTGTTTTTAACCAGTATATTATGGAAACTATTCTTATTGCGTTTTGGTTCCCAGAATGCCCTGCTAAAAGAGGCATTCTTGTTAAAGAGAAGTGCAAACTCATTCGTCTAGATGAAAGTGTGGTTTGAGCAGCTGGAAGATAGCCAGTCTCTTTGGTCTGAACCTTCTGCAAGTTACATTTCTCGCAAAATTTAGATGGCTAGACTTTTTAGAATAGACAACATACCTCTAGTTGGTGCTGTGTTGGTGTGTCAGTGAATTATGTGCATATGAAAGAGTGTGTGTTTTCTTTTTCCACAGCTGTTGTCCTTTCCATTCCCAACTATTTAAAAAGCTGATGAGATTTAGTTAAAGAAATGTGATTATCTTTTTGTATTCTTCCAGAATTGGACACATATACTTTTGAACTATAATACTACTGTACTCATCAGTAAGAGGGAAAGTATGCAACATTCAACCATGAGCTATCTGGAGAGGAAGACAGGAATATTTACCTTTTCCAGGAGATCACATAAAATCCGGTAGCCACTCCACTTTGACTAGTAGCAACTGGTGGGCAACGAAGGCAAAAACATTCACTAGCACTCTCTCCTGTCTGTAAAACAACTATCGGGGGGGGGGGGGGGACAGATTTAGGATAAAATTTAAAAAGATACTTTGATCCTGAATGACTTTGTTCATTTATTTCATACATGCACAAAATAATAGGCACATACAAAAGCTAGTAAGTATGTTCAGATTCATAGCTTAATCTTACTTCAAACTTTTGCCCTCCCAGGGGGAAAAAGGGACTACTAGAAATACAACATTCAAACAGAATTTTCTGAGCCGAAGGCATCTTTGATAGAAGAGGAAACAAAACCATCTAACTGTTGAAGTGTACACATTCATTAGAACAATAAGTGGGACAAGGCTCCCATCAAGTGGAGGACTTGTACAGAGACTACCGTACAAGGAAATCTGGCTAATCAGCTATTGGCTGGATCCTGTTCAATACTGACAAAATAGAAAGCCCTGTTGGTGTTGTAAAGTAGGGCCACCTTCCTTACTGTTGTACAACTGGGAATTGCTGTGTGACATGTCCACTTGCACAACAAAGTATACTTTGTATATTTTCTTTGTGCAAATAGCAAGGAAGTCTTACTGCCCATGCTACAGTTTAGTCCATGAGGAATCTGACTGAAGAATATCTTGGCTTTTACTTTTAAAAGGTAAGGCAAAATCAGTCTTACGTGACATCTCTTTAAATTAAATTCAGTAATATCTGCTTCTCTCAAGTATGTTTGGGTTACTCCCCAATTGCTATTCCAGAAGTGTGTTCTTTAAGTGTGTGTGTTTTGCTTCTCACCATTCTCCACGTAAGACTCCAGCTGGTCCACTGGTGTCATAGAAGGAGAAAGCTGCAGCTGGCTGGTAACAATGGTAAGAGCCCAAGGTGAAGCACTTAGAATGTCTGTCATCAGTAAAAATGGTATGTCTGCAAAGACTTTATCTAAATGTTCAAACTGCCAGGAAAAGAAACAAAGGGTTGGTCATTTTATTACTCCTAACATTTATCAAGTCTATGCTTTCTCTGACATTGCCATCACATACCTTAGTTGAGACAAACTTAACAGCTACATCAAAAGGAAACACTGTTTCTATGGTAACAGTTTCATCCTGCGCATGAGAGAAAGAGTGAGTTACCTTTCAATTCTGATTTTGATGGTACAGATAGTAAATAACAGATGTGTTTAACATCCCTGTGTCAGTCCTTTTTTCCAGCCAATATTGACCATTTTCAATATATTGTGATGATATCCAAACTAGTGTTTGTGGTTGCCCCAAATCAATGGCACTTTGGGGCCAGGATCTGACTGAATAGTTCTGCTTAAAGAGGTGCTTTTATCAGTGGAAATGAGAAGAAACCATTCCCTCCCCTTTGCAACCATCCATGTACCCAAATCTTGCTCTGGAGAGTTCAGTAATTCTCCACAGCTGGTACGTGGCATTACAGAGGCATGGTGGAGACGAGAATGGGAGGCCAAGGAGAGACATTTTCATCATATCAGGTGCTAAAGCAATGTAAGATTAGACTTCCAGCTACATATTAACCTTAAAAAACCCTTTAGATTTTCACTCCCCTTCAGGGAACTTAATCACTTCAATACCAGTCACTTCTCATCCCAATCTCATCATATCAAATGTGGACACCACATGCTTCACTAAGTCAAACTTATCACCAGGGGTTCAATAACTGCTTCCTTTTTTCTACCTGCCAGAGAGCAAAAATGGGGAGAGGTTTGTCAAGCAACACACCTGGAAAGGGGTTTGAAAGCTCACAGTACATGACTAATAGGCTATGTTTGGTTAAATCTATTTTGAGCATGATATGGAAATAGAAGTTCTGTAAACTGAATATTATGATTGTGTCTGGAATCATGTGTTTGCCACCATAGCTATTTACCTGCACCTCTGCATCTTCCTTTTTTAATATTCAAGGAGCATATTGGCTGGAATACAACTGGAACAGGTATCACCGAGAAGGCTGATGGTGTCATCAACCATGGAATACTGCCCCTTTCAGATTCCGAGTTTCCCTAGGGATCCCTTTCAACTGAGAAAGCCTTTGTGAGCATGGAGGGGAGAGCCCTTAAATTGCCATTGGTGGAATATTTGGATATTAAAGGCTTACCCTGGTCCCAAAGCTCTTAAAAGCTCTGCCAGGTCAAAAGGGATCTCTAGGAAACCTCAGAACCTGAGGTGGAGAGGAAGGGAAACTGTAAATTAAAAAGTCCATGCCCCTACCAACTGAATATCAACATAATGTATAAACTGGTTGCAGTCATAAGCATTCACTTTAATTAGTAAATGTTTTCTTGTAAGCACTTAGAAGGTTTCTGACTCCTGTTGATCCAACATACCCTGTGACACCTGCAGAGAATCTCTTTTCCCTCAATTGTCGCACTCACGAGGTAAGAAACATACACAAGAAACATCCTAGTACCAACTGTTCCACATTGAATATATATAGTTTTTTCCAGCTTTAAGAAAAGAAAGATAAAACAAAAAATATGTTTAGACCAAAAGCAAAAAAGTCAATAATTCAGAAGTCCTATTTTAAAGCACTGTCATGCTCAAAACACTGTGTAGGTCTTTCTGAACCCTATGTAAAATTTAACTTCTAAGCAACTATTTTTGCAGTTTCCTCTCATGTTACTACATAAAAAGACATGGTTGCCATTTTCTCTGTGTGCAAAAATCTTTTGAAGCAGAACCAAGAATACAGAAGTTGTTTTCCACTTATTGCCTCACATGAATGGTGGGCAGCTGAGACCCTCCAAGTATTTCTAGACTCCAACTTCCTAGGTCCCTCTCCAATGTCTATGATGACTTCGACTCATGAAATTTAAGCAAAAAACGTCTGTAGAACCACAGTCAAAGACGCAGTCTAGTTATGATCCAGAGAAAATGACTCCATTTAAATTAAAGAGCCTTTAAAAATGCAATCAATCTGAGGTATTTCACCCATTAGAACGCATTAACCGGTTTTTAATGCATTCTAATAGGTTTTTTACTTTCGCTTTATGATGATTTCGTTGTACAGCGATTTTGCTGGAATGGATTATTGTCATCAAGCGAGGCACCACTGTATTTTTTAAAGTTCCAGTTAACCAATACAATAGTAAACTTTCCTTTCATTAAACAATTAGTTACAGTCAGTTACAGTAAAGACCTTTTGCAAACTTGCTATGTGTACCTTTACAAGCTTATTAAAAATAAATGATGGCTGTCACTATCATGCACATTAATAATAACAATCATGTGCTGTCAAATCAATTCTGACTTATGGCAACCCTTTTCAGAGTTTTCTAGGTACAGAGTTCTGAGAAGTGGTTTACCATTCCCTTCTTCTGGGGGTAGCCTAGGGCTGTGAAGCTTGCCCAACACCACACAGGCTGGCTCTTCTCACAGGAGACACAGTGAGGAATCGAAACCCCAACCTCTGGCTTCACAGCCAGATACCTCTCACTGAGCTATCAAGCCAGCTCATACACACTAAAGTTACTTACAATCAAACAGGAAAATCCATTTTACTGTGTTTCATCTCACGAAACCATTGTGTCTGTCTTAAAAACTAGCTCTTGTTTACAATAAACAAATCATGTAAATGATATCCTGGTTATTTGTAATTAAAAATGTTTTAGAGATCAAATGTGCACCACTGTTCACGAAATACATGAATTAATATCAATCAAAAATGTGATTTTAAGAAAATAAATTGTGATTATTTACTTAAATTTACTGCTTTCATCACAAATTTAAGTAGTCTTATTTAAACCAAACCCCCCTGTATTGAGCAAAGTATAATTCCACCTCTATGCTTTCATTATTATGCAGCTAAAATACAGGGCATGCTTACCTTTTCGCCTGGCTCCAAATCTCCCAGAGGGATATCAGGAAGTAGGGCAGGATAAGAATCATCACACATTTCTGTTCCATTTAGAGTCACGTGAGTTCTCTGAGTAAGGTTTGCATCCTGGCCTATAAACAAATGGAAAAATCAATGTTTTAAAATTACTTTTGTCTTATTACTACCATAGTAACAAACACTAGAGATTCCAAATTATTGCTTTCCCCAAAATTAAGCAAAGATGAAATGCATGCATTAAAGCAGCTCTCATGGAAAGGAATCTCATGCAAATTTCCTTGAAAAGACAGAATATCTTATTCTTATGGACATACTGTATAACTTTAACATGCTTCAAAAATCTGTGACAAGATTAGGGGGGAAATGCCATCACGTTTTCAGAAAGTTTTGTAATTTTCAAGCCACCATGGGTTGATTTTGTTTTAAGATGAAATTTGTCAACTGAGGGTTGTTTCAAGTGTGGTGCACCCATTTATGGAATGACTTTCCCAAGAAGGCTTGCTTGGGGGCCACAGTCTTACCTTTTCAACACCAGTCACAGGCATTTTAGATTTGTATTATTACACTGTAATTTTTCAAGGTTTTACAAGTCTGTTCTGCTATTCTTTACTACTGCTGTTGTTTTAATTCTGCTGTAGGAGTTGCCTGGAGAATGTTCCGTTATAGGCTGGCATGTGAACACCACAATAAATGATATCATCACAGGAAATTGTTCTTTCAGTTTAAACAATGCTGATTTTATTTCAGTTATTTATTTCTATAGTAAATAAAAATAAGTAAGCCAAAATAGTGCATAACAGTTGCATTGCAAAAACTCATCACTCTTCTTACTATAACCAAAATAACATATAATTAAATTTAGATTTTGGCGTACAACTAAGGATTAATTGCTGTGTTCTAAAGGAAAAACATGCCAACTTCTACACATGAATGTCCTGTCTAAAAAAAAATACGCTTCCATTCAGTATTACTGGATATTGATGCAGAAGCAGGATTAATCCAGGATTAATTACCGAAAACAGACATCTCACTTGTTTAACCATTAACGCCAATTATCTGGTTATTTACTTGTAAGATTTTATAACTATTTCAGATAAGAGACAATGAGGTCACCATACTGTAAATATCTGAAGCCATTATCACATAATGTAACAAATACAGTACCTGGTTTTAATCCTGCAGTGAGTTTCACGTCTTTGGCGACTGTCTTTTCATTTGATTGAATTGTCACAATAAAACAGTACATTTCATTTGTCAGAGCAGGAGGTTCATGACTAAGCTGGACAGAAATGTTTGGCACCCTAGAAATGATCCTTTAAGAAAAACAAGATAAGGTTAACAAGCTTCTGTATCTTGAAATTCTTACAGCCTTGCTCCTCAACAACACTAAGTAAAAGGCAAGCAGTGAAGAGCAATCAAGTTGTTATTCCATACACCACTCAAAACTCTTCCAGATCCATTCTCCTCCTCACAGCTTTCCCATCTCCAAACCTCCCCACTTATATTTAAATTGATAATTTGCACAAATGAAATTCAGGTGTTTAGGATCCTGTCCTACGGGCTATGGGATGCTCTGAGCTTGCCCAATCCAAAACTGAAAATGGAAAAGCAGATATAAAGAACTGTTTTGGAAAGGGTTTTTCTGTACTTCAGAAGCAGGAAAACTGATACAGCAGATGTCAAACTGTAAGCAGTGATGGGAGGGGCTGGCTTTCTTTTTAAAACCATTTTATTAATATCTAAACATACCAACTTAAAAACATTAACAATCTAACAGATAATTAACAAAACAAAACAAACAAAAAAAGTACAGCTAAGCATCCATCCTTCCCCTATGTATCAGATTTCACACTCGTCTGGTTATCGGAATATCTTCAAGGTGATTCCGGTGAGCACCGGTTCCCTATAGACTAATTGTCCCCTAAGTTCCCGTGTTTTTCTGGGCCCAATTATATATCAGCTTAAGTCTCTTGCTTGATCCTGTAGTGCCTTTGAAAGCATGTCTAGTTCTGCAATATCCAATAGCTCCTTAAATAACTTATCCATCGTTGGTGTCTCTACATTCTTCCATTTTTGGGGCCCAGAGTAACCTAGCTGTTGTGAATATGTACAGCAGTTCCCCTAAGTTCCCGTCTTTTTCTGGGCCCAATTATATATCAGCTTAAGTCTCTTGCTTGATCCTGTAGTGCCTTTGAAAGCATGTCTAGTTCTGCAATATCCAATAGCTCCTTAAATAACTTATCCATCGTTGGTGTCTCTACATTCTTCCATTTTTGGGGCCCAGAGTAACCTAGCTGTTGTGAATATGTACAGCAGACTATATTGTCAATAATTTCTGGCATTATATTCAATAGTAACATTTCAGGTTTAAAATTTAATCTCTTTTACCATTTCCCAAACCTGTATCAATTTTTTTTTGCTTTTTCACATGACCATCACATATGATAATAAGACCCTGGATTTTGTTTGTTATTTTACACTTCCAACAAACATTATTGTTACCTTCTGACATTTTTGTCAATCTTACAGGGGTAAAATGCCATATATGAAACATTTTAAGGATGGTTTCTCTAAGATTCACCTGCTTAATCATTTTATGATTCTCTTTCCACATCTTTGTCCATTCATCAAGATCAATATTGTACCCAAAATTTTGTGCCCATTTTACCATCGCCTCCTTCACCCGCTCATCCTCTAAGTCATATTCCAATAAGTATGTACACATTTTTAAATTATTTCCTCATTAGTGTAAACCCATAATTCAGCCACCTGGACTTCCCCCTCAAAAAAGCCCATAATTTTGTCCTTTTTATATCTCAATTCTAATTTCAACATTGACCACCAATCTGTAGCTAAGCCCAGTTTCTCTAGATCTTGTTTATCTTTTATATTCTGATCTTTAGTTAAGTCTTTATACGTGAGTAACGCCCCCTTCTGATTCAATACTTTGAAAGTGAATGCTTCTATTGGTGCTGCCCATATTGGAATTTTCTTTGTGTTTGTGTTTGAAATTTTTGCCATACTAAGCAGAGCGCCTTCCTCAGAATATGTTGTGCAAAATGTGATTGTTCTTTGTACTTTCCATACCACACATATGCATGCCAACCCATTTTTAGATCATGACCCTCCAATTTCAATAATCTTTGATTTTCTAATGTTATCCATTCTTTTATCCAGACCATGGCACATGCCTTATAATATAATATCCAATTCAGTAGTCCTGAACCACCTCTTTCGTCTTGCAGTCTTCTAAGTTTTATTCTTGGTTTCTTGGCCTTCCATACAAATTTCGAAGTCAGGCTGTCCAAGTCCTTGAAGTATTTAAAATTTATTAAGAATGGTAAATCTTGAAAAAAAAAAACAGTTTTGGTAATATCATCAACTTTATTGTCGAGATTCTTCCCATCATAGGCGTTTGTAGCTTATTCCATTCTTCCAGGTCTTTCTGAATTTCCTTCTGTGTTGTAAGATAATTTTCTTTCATCAAATTACTTGGGTTTTTTTGTAATGATAACTCCTAGATATTTCACTTTCTGTACCTCCTCAAAATCAGTTTTCCTTGCCAGTCTTTCCACATCTTCTTTCTTTATGTTTTAGTCATGAATTTTGTTTTTTGATAATTTATTTTAAGACTTGCAACAGTTCCGAATTCTTCTATAGTTCTCACTAATTCTTCCAAACTGTCCAGAGGGTTTTCTAGTATTATTGCTAAATCATCAGCATATGCTTGCAGCTTAAATTCTTCTCTGCTGATTCTGAGACCCTTAATTCCAGCATTCCCTCTTATTTGTCTATTTAGAATACAGTGGACCCTCGATTTACGGAATTAATCTGTATTGGAATGGTGGCTGGAGGTCGAAAATTTTGTAGATCGAGGCTCCATTGACCTACAATGCATTGAAAACCGATTAATCCGTAACTGGACGTTTTTGTTCCATTTTGGGTTTTTTTTCCAGTCTGTAGGTCAATTCTCCAGCTGCAAGTCGAACCTAAATTTTGCGGCCAGAGGAGTCTAACTCGAAAAGTATGTAAGTGGAGCCATCTGTAAGTAGAGGGTCCACTGTATCTAATGTTAGAATAATTAATAATGGAGAAAGTGGGCAACCCTGCCTTGCGCCCTGTTCAGTTTGAATATTTTCAGTTACTTGACCATCTATTTTAATCTTGGCCTTCTGTTTAGTGTATATTGCTTTAATTGTTTGTAGAAAAATTCCTTCTGCTTCCATCTTCTTTAATTGCAGCAACATAAATTCCCAATCAACATTATTGAAGGCCTTTTCTGCATATAAAGAGATTAACTAACATCATTTGCTTTTCTGGATGTATTTCATAATATTCCAAAATGTTTATTATTGATCTTATATTTGATGATAGTTTCCTTTTTGGGATGAAACCTGTTTGATCTTTGTGTATCATTTCCTCAAGTACAGTGGTACCTCACTAAACGACAACCCCGCTAAACAACGAATCCACATGATGATGACTTTTTGTGATCGCTATAGTGATTCGCAAAACAGTCATTCCAATGGGGGATTTTCACTGGACGTCAATTAGGTCCATGTTTCGCGAACCGTTCGCAAGACGATGATTTTTTTGGCTCTGCAAAATGGCTGTCCTGTCTTTTCCGGACCCATGCTTCGCAGGGCAGCCATTTTTACAGCTGATCGGCGCTCGCAAAATGGCTTCCCTATGGGTGATCTTCACTGGATGACGAGGTATTTTCCCCATTGGAACACATTAAACTGGGTTTCAATGCATTCCAATGGGGAAAGGGTTTTCGCATGACAACAATTTTGCTAAACAGCAATATTCCTGGGACGGAATGCAGGGCACCACTGTATCTCCTTTAGCCTTGTTGCCCAGATTGTCATATATATCTTATAGTCAACATTCAAGAGAGAGACTGGTCTGTAATTCTTGATTTGGTTTTTCCCTGCCCCCGTTTTGTGTATTAAGGAGATATGTGACTCTTTCCATGAATCTGGGATTTCTCCTCTAGTTTCAATGTCTTCTATTAATTTCTTGAAGTGTGGACTTAAAATTTCTTCAAATGCTTTGTAATATTCAGCTAGAAGTCTATCTGGACCAGGGGCTTTCCCATTTTTCTGTTTTTTCCATGCTTCTCCAATTTCACTCGCCATAATTGGTTTATTTAAGTTTTCCTATTGTTGAGAATAAAATCTCCAATCTAGAAGTTTATTCAAATAGTTCCACTATTTCTCCTGTTCAATCTGTTTCTTTTTATAAAGGTTGGTATAAAAGTTTTAAATTTCTTTTTCAATTTCCTTTTCTTTATATATTTCCTTTCCTTCCTTATCCAATATTACATTGATCATTGTTTTTTTCTCTCTCTTTTATTATTCTATATGCTAACCATCTTCCTGGTTTGTTTGCATTTTTTAAAAAATTGCCTTGCAAATTTAATTTTTTTCCATTTCTTGTTCTAGTAAGTTAATTTTATGTTGTAATATATTTATCTTGTTTATTAGGTACTTAGCTGTAGGTGTCTTCTTTAATTCCATTTCTTATTTAGAGATGTTATTAGGATTTAGTATTGTTTGTTTCCTTTTTCTTTTGTGCATTGAATTCTATTGCAAAGCCACAAAAATAGGCTTTGACTGCATCCTATATCGTTGTCATCTCTATATCCTGGGGTTTATTAATTTGAAAGAAAAATTCTACTTCTTTTTAAATTTTAGTCAAAAATGTCTATTCTCTCAATAAGTGGCTATTTAGTCTCCAACCTCGGCCAGTTGTATCTGTAAGGCTGGCGGCGGCTCCGCGGGCCATCAGACGAGGTCTGGCGGGCCGGATTTGGCCTGCGGGCCTTGTCTTTGACACCCCTGTTCTAGACCATGAATTGTGTCTATTTGAATAAAATGTATAATCTCTTCTCTGAGGGTACCTGGTTCTCCATGTACCAATTAAGTTTAATTATTCTACCATTTCCAGAAACACCTTGGGGATCATATTTCTTGTTCATTTCCTTCCGTTTCCATTTGTTGTCAAAGTATCTTTTTGTTTGTCAATTATTGCGTTAAAATCTCCCATAATAAACATTTTCTGTTCTGGTCTTTGTATCAGCTGGTTCTTCAGTTGCTGATAAAATTTTGGTTGCGTTTCATTTGGTGCATAAATGTTCACCAGCAATATTTCTTCTCCTATTTAGAGATTTCTACCATTAATAATCTTCCATCCGTTGATGCATACAGTGGTACCTTGCTAGAC